GGACCACCTTTAGCTGGACGTACACACAGTGCGGACCACCTTTAGCTGGACGTACACACAATGCGGACCACCCCAGGACATGACATCCTTTTATCACTGCTGCAGTTTTAATTTCCTGATGTTTATTGAAGTTTTCAGAGTGGTGTGGAGCAGGGGGGACACTGATCAAATATCACAGATAGTCCAGTAAGGTTTTAAAATATTTGTATGTGAATGTACCTGACTGGATAGACCTGTGTGTTTGTATCAAATACTTTATTTATCAGTCTGCTTTTTGCTGTCCCTTTGAGGACAATAAAGTTTATCTGATCTAAACTCTAAGACTTGATTTAGTATAACTTGCAGCATCCATGTTTTTCTGTTAAAACCTAATTGTAAAGCTTCTATAAGAAAAAACATTTCATTTAGGAGCTTCATTTCATAACGCTATAACTGTTCCACATTTAATTTACTGTATTGAAGTCTGGGGTAAAGCTTGTAAAACTATCACAAATCATGTTTTTATTTTACAGAAAAGAGTTCTAAGAGTTATTACTAGAAAAAATAACAGCCATCCATCAAATTTATTGTTTCATGATTTGAAATTATAAAAATTCTATGATTTGGTTGATTATAATATTTTACTGTTAATGTACAGAGCTCATAAAGGTGTGTTACCTTCCAACATTCAGGTAAATTTAGTTAAAAGACAGAGCTGTTATTATCTTAAAGGAACAGAAATGTTTGTGAAACCCTGGTTTGGTACGAGCCTGAAGGAGAGATCCACTTTAATCCAGGGAATAAGATTATGGAACAGCCTGGAAGATGAGGTTAAAAATGACAGAACCTTGTATTTACTGAAGAGAATGATAAAAACTAGTATTCTGTAGAAATATGGAGAATTATCAGTGAATTCATGCTGAGTGTTGTTTGAGTTGGTGTCTTAAGTTTTGTTTTTAATTCATTTTTAAGTGTTTTACGTTGTTTTGAATTTTTTTTAGTATTTTACTTCTTTTGATTGTACTACTACTAGTAGTACTAGTACAAGTATTACTACAACTGCTACTACTATATTTCTTATTGCCTACGTTCCTTGAACGCAGCACAGGCCCGTGAAGAGCGCATGCGCAGAGCGGAGGAGCAGCGCGGCTCCGGTAGCAGAGTCCAGGCGGTCTGAGGCTCCAGTCGTCCTGACTTCCTGGTTTTAATGACTTCCAGTGAGTCCCGGTTGTTCAGCAGACGGCTGCCTGTCCACTGACGTCCCGCTGGATAAATGCTGGACCTGTGAAGCCCCACTGGCTCCTCTTACCTGGCTAACACCGGTGTCCGGCAGCCCGCACGGTTCTCGGTAGGTTCCGGTAACAAACCGAAGCAGGTTGAAGGAGAACCGGTCCGGTTCCGGTTTGTCTTCAGGATCAGTTGGTAAGCCGAGCTGAAGCTCCGGGCTGATGTGGCTAACCTGAGTAAAGATTAGCTGCAGCTAGCTGTTAGCAGGAAGTAGCTGTGAGGTGACAGCCTGTTCTTACACAACTAATAATAATAATAATCTGCAGGGATTATTGAACATGAGGGAAAGACTGACTCACATCATGTGGAGAAAACATCACAGATCTGTTGATTTATTTCTCATATGTGTGTCAGATTAACTTCAGCAGTTTGTGTACAAACTGTGTTTCATAAAAGAAAAAAGTGTGACTTGAACAAAAAGAGCAGACTTGTAAATAATCCCTTCAGGCCTCAGAATCAGCTGACTGAATCAGCAGGAAGCTGTGAGATTAAATGTTAATCTGAGGTCCAGTTTATTCATGAGCTGAAGTCAGCTTCTGATTCAGGAAATGACTAAAGGGACATTACAACTATTTGTTCTCTACCTGAGTGTGTTCCATTCACCCTGACTCAGAAACCACCAGACCTGGACTCTTCAGACCTGGACTCTTCAGACCTGGACTCTTCAGACCTGGACTCTTCAGACCTGGATCAGATTATTCTACACTGTCAGGAGATTATTTAAGAACAGCTTTGAGCTTTGGGACAGATTTTTATGGTTTGTGAAACTTCAACAAAGATCGTTTTTCATCATTTTTCATGCAACCGGACCACATTAGACCTGGTCCAGCTCGAAACTACACACACACACACACACACACACACACATACACACACACACATATTTACACTTCTTACACTTATATTTACACTTCTCATCAACCACAATCAAATTCACTCCATCCATGGGCTCTATGTGTCTGGATAGATTTTTTTTCTGAACATTGAAAAGATGGAATAAAAACAAGTCAAAGTTAAATAGAAATGAAATAGTTTTCGCATTTTAAAAAGTAAGG